CCCCCCCCCCCCCCCCCCAATTCCTAAAAGTTTCTCAACGGATTTGGGTTGTACTCACCAAGCATAGTATAGCCCCGAACTCAGATTTGAAAAAAATCAGCAGAGACCTGTTTTCTGACTGGTGGGGGACCGGTCAGCCCTACCGGTCGGCGGTCGGCAGGGGTGCAACCCTGCTCTAAACATAAAAAATGGCGAGGATATCTGCAAGACTGCCCCAATAACCTCCCTTTATCCAATTTTGTCAGTAGACTACCCGATGGACCATTTGGTTCTTACAATAACAATTTGAATACCTCCTCAAGACCGGCTGAGAAAAGATCCCTCTCATTCCAAAAATATGGACAGTCGGAACATCAAAATATTACAAGAATTTCCGCGAAAAAAATGTTTCCCCCAATAACCTGTCATCTGATCCTCATAGACCATTAAGGATTTTCTGCAACAAAATGTTTCCTCCCCCATTCCATATTTTCCTTTTCTCTGCCTTTTCACTTACACAAGTGTTCCGATCAAGTGGGAGAGCGCCAATACAATCTATCATAGTTCATTGCATGGGATCACCCACAGCTCATGACCTTTGAATGGTTTTGAATGGCAGGTAATCCTTCGACTTTACACAACTGTTCCAATCATGTGGGAGACCACCTAGCTAGAGTGTTGGAAGCCACAATCAGTGCTCAAATCCAGATAAATTTAATGCATGGCATCGCCCACAGCTCATGACCTTCGAATGGTTTTGAAACGAAGATCGCTGACTGCTTCGACTTACCCAATATTTACTCTTCAACTATATTGCACTGACTATATTTATCCTGAGGTGAGACTGGTGACAATTCAACTGCTTTCAGTAACTCTACACACATACCCAAGTCAAGACTGCTACACCTATTTCGTTCGGTAACTCTACACACATACCCAAGCCAAGACTGCTACACCAATTTATTTCCACTGTTTTTGAAACCCGCTTACATAAAATGCATTCATACACTCCATACCGACAGGAACGAGAGAAAACACAGGAAAGCAAAAAGCAGGAAGAAATATTACCATATCTTACCATGCTAAGTTGCTAACAAATTAAAACATCAAGGAAATGGGGAGTGGACAATAAGTGCGGAATCACCAGATTGGCAATCAGCAGGTTGCAGTAAAGACGAAGATGAAGCACTTACCGACAAATTTGTCCGAGAAGGATCTAGAAGGTCGGTGATGCTCTCATTATAAATCTGAAAAACACACATCAGACAGAACAGAATATTCTCAAGATTACTTTATCGACCTGTGATGGGAGGGACAGTGTGAAAACACTGCAGACACTTTGTCTGACGCCAGATAAAAGGGGATTGCAGATAGCTGGAAAAAGGCTAAAGGAGGTTGTGTCTTGTCTCCATCCAACATGATTTTCATTCAATCTCCTAAGCAATGGTGACCATTCGGGATGGCCTTCGGGCACCCACACGGACTGTGTCTACCATTCAGCCATCATGCAGACACCTGATTTCCTGCCATTGAGGTATGATAGCCTAGAGCAGATGCCTCCCTTTAAACAACGAAAAAATGAGTGAATCCATATTAATTAAAATCAAGCAAGTGCAAGAAAATAAGTGTGAGCGAATAACATACATCGAGAAAGCAATGACAAATTGTAGGCAAAGTAATCATGAGCGTAGTCCATCACAATGTACACAGAGTATCACCAATAAGATAACACAATGAACTCAAAAGCAGTGTTCAGCCCTACTTCGCCAATACACAACAATGAATGCAAAGTCTCTCTTCTGTTCTGGCGTTCTGCGCCCAGCCTAGACTAGCCGATACTACCCTACACTAAGTCTCAGTCACTGAAGTCTCATGTACAAAGCAGACAAAGACCAAGAGAACGACGCTCATGTAGACTGTCGCTGCAACCAGGTAAGTATCTTCTCCCTCTTTCACTCCGAGTCTCTCTTATCCCTTGTCCACCCCCAGTGTGCTTTCCTTAACACCCAAGGACCACCATCGCCAACCAGGAACCCAGTGCCAGGCAAGCCGAGCTATGGCTGCCTGCTCCACCTCCAGCGCCCGTGCGCGCGACCCAGCAGACCGGCAAGCAGCAGCGCAGCATCGTGGCCGCCGCCCCAGTCCAGACTGAATGAGCAGCCAGGAGCTGCTCACTTTCCTTTATGGAAAGTGGACTGGGCTGGGCAGACCCTGGCTACTTCCAGTAGCTTCCAGCACATACTTGTGTCTGACTGCGATTACAATCAAACCTCTTTGAATCTGGCTGCAATCACATACACAGCTTAGTTGGAGAAGTCCCAATGTGAGTAGGCCCTCACATACATAGGATGAGGTTGCAGGATTGTGTACGACGCTTTTCGAGCAGAAAAAACGCAATGACGCAAAACAACACACCTCAAGATAAGAACATTTGCAGTTGAACCTTAGTTGTTCATGCCGTCGGCTTTCCTCTTCCTGAATGAAACAGTGAGGCGAGAAAGGGAAAAAAAAAATTTGAGCCAAGTCAGGAGCACATATCTGACAAGACGTGTTGCACAATTTCCCCTACACCGTTAAAACCACCACTCCCCCCCCCAGCAAGAAATTGTCACTTCGGGATCGATTTGCCCTTTTCCTGAACGTCAGCCGATCGTTTGTCAGCCGAGTCCCGAGTCCCGCTTATTTTTTCAGGCAAATATCACCCCCCCCCCCCAAAAA